GTAATTCAAGTCCAGTGCAAAAACGCATGATCGCACGGGCCCGCCCGGTGCGTTCCAGCCTGGGTTCAATACAGGAAAGAAGTTGTATAAAGATATGTAGGACAAACCGGAAAAACTGTTGGAAAGAAAATATTTGTCTCGTTGTGAATAGCATGACAGCGTATATCTTGATATTGTTAATAATTTTTCTCGGAAGCTTCACCTGCAATTTTATGACAAATTTTTACAGTAACATTTGGGATGATTGCTCTTGAAATCCTACGCAAAAGTTATCCAGCGATTTATTTTTGATTCGGAAATATGACTAGTTTGTCAACAGCTACGCCCTAACATGTGATCGAATATTATCTGTTTTTCACTCATGCGACTTTATTGCTTCGTTCCGCTACTGCCTATCTTAATACTACACGTTCATCGTTCGGCTAGCTATAAAATTTTGATTTTCTCGCCACGTGTTGGCTACAGCCATGTGAACTATTTTGGTCAGATTGCAGATATCCTGGTTGAAGCTGGATACGATGTTGTATGTTTCTTTTAGCCATTGAGCTTTGTCTTGCTTTTTATTTACAAGTTGTTTCGTTTGGTCTCTTTTTGAAATGCCGAAACATCAAAACCTTCCGTCGAAATTTGCACTTTATAGGAGGCAGAAGCCCTTGGGAAACAGCTCGAGCAGTGGCACATGCAGATCTGTTGATGGTTCTCGCTTTTCACTTTGCTTACAAGCAAGTCGATGGCGAATTCTGGGACAACCGATCCTTTTGACAGTGGAAAATTGCCATTGCTGCATGCCAGAGAGTTAAACATTCCATCAGCTTGCTTGCAAGCAACTCTCAAAAGAAGGGGTCGTTGATAGACTTAACAAGTGATTGGGCTGCTTTAATCTCTCATGAAAAGCGAATGTGAAAAGTCTTTTGACTATTTTTGAAATGCAAAATGCTTTTTTATGATTTTTGACTTGTTTTTGCATCTACAAATTTTTACAATTGCACCTTTTTTATTCAATAAGGTTGTATATTTGGTGAACATGGATCCGGATGTGCACAGCAATGGAACGAGGTTAGCGCGAGTGGTTGAGGATTCACACTCACCGTTTTTACTGGAAACAAAAAATCTGAACAAAAGAATTTGGCACAATGATGGCGGTAGCGTACTTGAAATTTATAAGGTTAGGTGAATCAGCTTCTCATTTTCACTCTGATGCACTTGAATGTTTGATGTTGGAATGTGAAATTCCTCATAGGATTTGAACTGCATTATAAAGGCTGTTTTAAGCGTTTGAATAGCTAGGTCTGAAGCGTAGTACTACCATTGCGACATTATTAAAAGGGATATCTGCGATGAGATCAGTTTTGCCATTTCTGCTATCTAGGGAGTAGTTTGGATGCTTGAATCAACTACAATTGATTGTTTGCTCCTCCAACTTTGATTTGCTTACAAATAGTCGAAGAAAGCAACCAGCAAAAGCTGTTTCAGATCTTTCGATCAATGACAGAAGCCCAGATAGAGTCCTGTATAAGTTAGTTTTCTTTGTCAACATTCTTGTTTGTAATTATCGTAAAAATTCATTATGGAGGGACTGTGATCAAAGAGAGGAAGTCAAAATTTTATAACCTCAAGACTGAGGTTTTGAAATTTCGTATGTACCAAGACCAAATAACCATGAGCTACCTTCTACAGTATAGCGAGAGAGCACCAGTTTATTGCATTTTTACCAGTTTTGAATGAAAATATCGCAAGAATGAAACCAAGCAGGCTTTTACTACACATCACCGCTTGTTTTACTCGCTTCGAATTTTATCCACTTGCCAAAAAAAATTTTTTTTAGGTTCACTGCATTCTATACTAACAGTTTTGTTCAAGATCCCATAATGCGTTTTTCTGAAGAAGCTGCAGATGTACTGAAAGTTTGACTTCAAAGCAAAATAATTGCAGATGTACTGAAAAATGACAAGGTGCTGGAATATTTACGAAGTGAAAAATTCGATCTCGGTATTACCGAAGCTATCAGTTTTTGCGGCTACAGGATTTTTGAAAAAATTGGCCTCAAAACCTATATCACAGGATTCACCAGCAATCTAGTTGAAATAATATCGGATAAACTTGGTGTAAGCAGTAATCCGAGCTATATTCCAGGTACTTATTTCTATTTAATTTATTAAGTATAAAGGTATTTCTTAATATAATTAATGAATTTTTTTTAATATATTAATATTTGATCAGACTTTAGCTATTAATGTTTTTTCACTTTTAGCTTTTCTCATTCACCAATTCATTTAGATGTTCAAGCAGATCCTTCCGCGTAACTGCCAGAATTATCTCCTATATTCTTTTACAACACTGCGTGGACGCACCTCCAATAGTTCGCTTTGTCTATCAATTCCACTTCATTTCTGCCCTTTGGCTAGTCCAGTTCTCGCATACATTGCTTTGATGACATCCTTAACACTTGTCAGTACCAAATACAGAAGATGTGTTGCAGCTTGCTAACGCCTTTCATGTGCGGTTTCACGGCTTGTAGCTAATAGGCATATTCAAAACTCCGTTAGTTGTACAAAAGATGCATATTTAGCTGCCAGTGCCAAGAATTTGATCATTGGGTTGTTGTTCAAAATGCTAGTAAAGATAAGTAATAATATAATGGGGAACGGATGGTTGTAGCAATAATTATAATAATAATGAGAAACCACATCGTAGCACTAATAAAGTAAAATCGTAAATTTCAGTGACGTACGAAATAAAACAGAATGCTGGAAATAATAATCATCATAGTAATAACAATAATGATGATGCAAATAATAATGATGATACCCGTAATAACAGTAACGACAATAATAGCTGCAATTATTCAGTTCGGAATAATACACTAGAAAACTTAAAAACACAAAGTAAATTTTAAAATTAATTACTGAAAAGGAATGTTTTGGTCCATTAAGCCGTATGCGTTCCTTATCTGTACCACAACTGGCTGTCTTCGGCACGGCTGCAATGGTGCTGCATATGAAAGTTGGAAAATATATATATGAAAGACTGAATAATTATAAATTCGCAATTTTTTAAAGGAGATTTTTTGTTTGAAAAATCAAATAAATAAGAGCTGTGTAACGTATTTCAGCAGCCATGAATGAAGTGAGTGATATAATGAGTTATACGGAGAGATTAAGCAACTGTATCACGTACTTATCACTTTCTTTGCTGCTTCAATTTTTTCATCTGTACCAAGCGAATAGGCTCAAAGAATATTGGCCTCATTTCGACCTCGGAGTTCGTTCATGTCATGTTTTGATAGTTTTTTGAATTTCATTTTCCATATTTGTCAAAAATATCAATACCAGTACTGCCCAAATAATGAGTATGAGGGTAGTGAAATCACTGAATGCTCCGGGCGCACCCCTCTGATCCTAAGTTGGTTATCCACTTAGTAACTATCGCCTGTCTGATATATGTGCGCTATCGCTTTGGAGACCGCCATCCTGGTCCGTTACTTACTCATTGGTATCAATGACTAATACGCGATGTTAGAAAGCCAAATAATATGTCTAACAATATGTCTACAGCTAAAAAACCATATCAGTGCCTCAAGCTAAAACAAGTAGGCTAATAACAACATTCCATCCCCTACAGCCAGGATATTTGTAGCTTTCACTTTCAGATATTGTGGAGTGTCAGAACTGGATTCATTAACTGCTCCCTTCTCCCCTCCTTAATTAGGATGTCCACCATCTCGTCTTCAATGTGAACTCTCTTTTAATTGAAATGTGGAAATTAAATCGTTTCTGTTTAGAGAGCAGTGAAGCATGGGTTCGAATTTACTTGGACGAAAATATGATAGTTTGATTTGAGAACATTTAAATGCTGGCAAACAGCGGCCGGATATAAACTTGCATATATTTGGGCGCCATTTCAGGAAAGTGTTGGGAGGAGTTCATTTGCATTCGTCAATTCGGAAGAGCTTTTAGAATTTCCTCGCCTTTTGAGTCATAAAATTGTATATATCGGTGGTGTTGCTGTCGAAAAACCAAAACCACTAAACGAGGTAAATGCAATAAAACAAATAAGCCTTGATTTGCCGTTCCAATGCAGTTTGAATCACTGTATGCATTTTGCTTACAAAGACTGAAATAAGCACGTTTTCTCTGATTCACAGTTATCAACAACAGGATTATGGCAAGTTGATGGATGCGGCGGCAGATGGCGCTGTTTTGATTTCATTCGGATCGGTGGCTAAAAGTGTGCTAATGACTGACCAACAGAAGGATGCGTTTTGCAATGCATTCAAAGCCTTCCCCAAGGTTATTTCGTTGCACAGACGTTTTTATGGAAGATGAGCACTTACTCTGATACCCTGATCAGTAGCCTGGTTCACCAGCTATGTAACGGCCAACTTTTCCCATTGCTTTGACCAATGCTGCGTCTCCGACAGACTGACCATCAGGCAACGAGCGCTTTCCAACGCAGCTGGAAAGTGAAATTCCCGCAGAAGTATATTAACAAGCAATTCTGCAGGTGAAATTCATTTGGAAGTATGAAATAAATGATAGTGTGGCGACAGATCTTCCGAATGTTTTCAAAGGCAATTGGATTCCTCAGACTGATTTTCTTGGTAATTTCTATTTTTATGCGGTTTTTGCAGCTATGCAATGCTGAAAACGCATATTGACGAGAGGTTGTCTGTATGTATGTGTGCGGCTGTGTGTCTGTGTGTTCGTCTGTACCGATTTTTCATCTCGAGATTGGCAAAGCTACAGGGCTGAAACTTTGGGAACATAATCTACATGCTTGTCCTGGCTCGCCAAATTTTTTTTGGGTAGGTTCATAACTCGAGGATCTAAGAAACAAGAATGCAGAAATCTTAGGGTAATATTCTTAGTCCAAGTAGGTATTAATGAGTTCAAACCTAGCCCCCGAGTAAGCGTAGTACCCGCTTACGAGCCAGCCAAAATTTTTTCGGGTAAGTTGATAACTCGCGAACCAGAAAAGCTAGAAGGCTGGAATTTTAAGGGGATGT